TCGCATCACAGCCCGTTCAACGGTCCTGCGTTAGACCCGTAATGAAGTCCATTGAGATGTTAGTCCACCGATTCGATGGTATCTCGAGAGGATGTAGTAGGCCGGCCGGTTTGCGATGAGATGCCTTAATTCTCTGACACATTTCACACGAAGCAACATAGCGTCGAGTTGAGCGATTCATCCGTTGCTAGTAAAACGTGGTTTGCACTGCCAACAGAGGTTTCAAATACCCTGAATGACCACTGGTAGCAGTGTCGTGATATTCATAAAAGGTCGCGTTGCGCAGGTCGGTGTCGTCTTGTACACAAATCCGGCGCGGGTCATCCACAGAAGGTTGATAATACAGGATATTGTCCTCCACGAAGAAGTGGTCAATGTTTGCACGTAGAGAACGAGCCAATTCCACAGGAGATGGTACATCGGATCCACCAGAGCTCTCCTTGAAAAACTTGTAAAGAAGTTTGAAGCCAGAATTACGAGAATACAGTCGAATACACTGCTCCACAATTGTCGGACGAGAAGCCATGTAATGGACAAAGGCCTCATCAGCATTGGAATCGTCGTTTTGACCTGTCAGCTGTTGTAAGAGGCTCGCTAGTGATACATGTTAAGGAGAGTGAAAGGCAGGATTTCGTGACACTGCATCTGCCACGATGTTGGACACTCCAGAAATCCAACGGAAAAGCGGCTTGTATGAGCCCAGCTCGTTCAGCCATCTCGCTAGTCGCTGTGAGTAGGTCTTTTGTTCCAGAATGCTTTGTAGAGTTCGGTGGTCAGTATTCACGTAAAATGGTTTGTCGATCAGATAACCTCGCCATGTTCGCATGGCGTGCAGTGCAGCCAAGAGCTCCTTCTCACGGGTTGGATACATTTTTTTCTGCTAGTCAGAAGCGTCCATCCGTACGTGAAATGGTCGTTGAACGGTCGGGGTGAGCGAGCAGTGGCGGCTGTGAAAGAAGTTTTTTCAGCTCTTTAAAGGATACAATCGGTTGATTAGTGAGAGAAATACGCTCATTTTTGCCAAGGCCTCGACCTGCTTCCATCAGTGGCGCTGCTAATTCTGCGAAATTCGCACAGTACTTCAGAACGTAGACGCAAGTTCCAATGAATGATTGCAGCTGCCGTTTAGTACGAGGCTGTGGCCATTGTTGAATGATCCTAACCTTGTCCGGGTCCATGCGTACTCCGTCACGACCGAAATAATCACCAAGACAGGGAATCTCACTGGCTCAAAATGTGCATTTTGTCAGCTTGACGTAAAGTTGTTGCTCCTCGCATCGCTTCAGGACTTTTTCGAGGGCATCTAAATGCTCGTCCAGCGACTGGCACTTGGTGTACACTAACAGATAATCGAAGTACGCTCGACAAAAAGCGCTCTAATCGCTAAAAATACGTTGAATCATGCGGCTACAAGCCGAAGGACTGCATGCGAGACCCATAGGGGTGACCAAATACTCGACCTGGCCATCGGGCGTCGAGAATGCTGTGTATTGTATATCCCTCTCGCGAAGTCGAACCTGAAAAAAAACCACAACAGATCCATTGCTGAGAAATAGTATCCACCTGCCCTTGCATCATAGATGTCCTCCTTACGAGGTACTGGAGTTGATGGTATAAGAAGTTTGGAATTTATTCCACGGAAATCGTGGACAATGCGCCAGCCGACGGCCTTCTTGACGCAGAACGTTGGAGCGCAATATGGCGACTTTGATGGTCGTATGTTGTCTGCGGACAACATTTCCTCTGTCCAGGCGCGAATGGCAGTCTTCATCTCATCACTCAATCGAAACTGCTTCCGAACCACAGGTACTTTGTCATCTAATTCAACTTCTGCTTCAACATCAAGAGTCCGCTGTGGAGCGACATTGGGTAGCTCCACACGAAATACTGTGTCCTTGTACTTTCTTAAGACTGCTTCTTCAGGGCGTCCACATAATTGGTCCCATCCTTGCTGTAGCTGCCTAGAAGCCTTATCGGACTGATCGTCTGTAATGCGAATTGCAAAGCAGAACGATGATTATTCACGCTGCATTCGCCGGAATTGGCGAGGTGAGATCACCTTAGTGTTACCCAATTCAGAGATGAAGTCGTGCTTGACGTAGAAGTGTATTTTTCATCCTGATCCTCGATGTGTAGCAATAAAAACACCAGCTTGAACTCGAGACAGGGATGCAATGTTAGACCAGCGTTGGCTCCACGGGAACGTACAGTTCTAGTGGACCAATCGATGTCGGGACTCACTTTTTCAAGCCAAGGGAATCCGAGATGTACATTCTTACCTTCAGGAATGTCCATAACGAAAACTTCGGAGTCGTAAGCCGGAAAGCCACACATCGAAGTAGTAATTCGAGTAGTCCGTCGGGGAATACTCACACGCTGTCCGCTGCCCAGTTTCACATTCAGAGGTTTCGAAGAGGCTTTGATCAGTAAGCCGAAGATTGAGGCGACCTTGGCGTCGATCGCATTGAATGAAGCGCCACTATCAATGAAAACCGCTACAGCAGCGTCAGCAATTCGACCTCTTTGAGATAAATAGCCGTAAACTTTCTCTTTAGCCGATAGAACAGCGTCATCCGCATGGTACTGAAGCTGCTTCGGGAGGGGGCTATCAGAACGTGGACGGCTACCACGGACTGACTGTTCTGGCCCAGCGGGATGCCAACCCACCGAGCCTAAGCGTTTTTTGAAGTCGACACCTTGGCATCCGCCTTCTTCTTGAAGCAGACAGCCTCGGTATGACCTGGGTTTTTGTAATACGCACAGGTAGACCTGTCACCATTCCTTCCAGTAGTACCAGGGGACTAATGGGGATTGGACGACACTACAGGGTTCTTCTTTTGAGGTACTGGTTTGCCCTGGAGTTTATCACCGCGCTGATCCTTTTGAACACTTGGTCCAGGGATAGTCGCACGAGAATCTTCGAAGCGTTGAGCTAGCTCAATGACTTCTTTTAGTGTCGACGGCACATGTTGTGACACAAAAGCGCTGGTGTCGGAGCGAAGGTTCTGTTGATAGTACCAATGTTTGACCACTTCGGGCAGCTCGCAGTCGAGTTGAGACAGCAAATGCAGGAATTTTGTCGAGTAGGCCTGTTGGGACCCACTCCATCGAAGATTATGCAACCTCGACAGCACCTTATGCTGGAAGTCATCCTCTCGGAACCGCTCACAAATTTGTTGCTTGAATATGGTCCATGTAGCTGGCTGGTCACCGAGAGAAATCTTGAAGTCTCGGTACCAAGTCTGAGCAGCAGGGCCCAAATTACCAAAAATAGTATCGACGAAGTCGGACGACTCAGCCTGCATCTCCTCGCTATAGTTAGAGTAATACTGCTCAGTACAGAACAGCCATAACTCCAAGTGGTCGTTAGACTGTCCGTTTAATTGCGGCGGGGTTCCCTTCTTCTTTTGAGGCTTCTGTGCAGAGCTACATAAGCCTGGAGCATCTGCTGCTGCAAAAGCACCTGCTGCTGGAGCATTTGAGACATCTGCTCTTGGTTTTGGTGTTCATGAACTCGAACATCTGCCTCATCATGGCCATTGCATCCACCGCTGGTTGCTGGACCGGGTGCGGAGCAGCAGCACCTGGGTCGGCATCCTCCGGATCTTGATCACGGCTCCGAGTCTGGCGATCTGTGTCTGCCGCAGTGTCCTCTTCACGGGTACGCCGTTGTTGTCGGGGCCGTGGGTTGGGACTTGGATTCCGAGTCATCGTGGTAAGTACTGTCGATATGAAGGCGAGATGCCTTGTGTAGAATTGACGCACCGGAAACGCGTCTTACGCTTGAATAGTTTTAAAACTGTCACGTCATACGCGAGTGTTGAGACTCGAATTGAGTGCTAGAAAGCAAATTTGAGAATGAATTGAATATAAGTGGAGACCTTCGTCCAGCTGGGTTAATTATGAATGGCAGCTTGAAGTAGTAGAGTCTAGCTTCCATCTGAGAGATCGAAGTCAAATCCTAAAGTATGAATTGAAAAGTGTTGCAGACGGAAAGCTGGAGATCAACGTGCTTCTTGCGGGTTGGTCTTCAATGTTGAGCTTCCTGTCGTGATAACCATGACATGTGAGCTAAGCTTCATAGCGGCTCGGAAATGGCCCGTGATACCGAGCACGACGCTAAACTAAACATATTGTGTAGCGTTTGTATTAATGTTATTTAAAGTGCAGGTGGAGGATGAAGCTACAGTGATGGCCAACAATAATAAAGAGATTGTATCAAGAATCATCATTAGAATAATTTTTTTTAACCCTTCAGGAAACCATGGTGACTGACTGACCCAGGCTTATGAATTAAAAATATATATTTAGGCTCATAGGGGTTCAGCGCTTTTTTTTTAATATTTATCCTGCCGAAGCGTAGAAGGCCAAAACAAGTAAAACTAATCCTAAACTACCGCCACGTAGAGGCGGCACTCGGCTAGTCAAAATAAATTTTTTAGTACTGCCGTGCCATTAACAGCAGGTGACATGAGCAACATAAGATAGCTTGATTTCACTAAACGTGGATGTTCCAGCCACCCCAACAGGCATCGCTCGGTACGCGAGACCAGCGCAATTGAAAGCATGTACAACCAAAATACTAACTACAGGGCACCACTCTATCGTTTTACCTGACAAGCACAGCGATGCAACTCCGGTTAGCTCGTAGAAGTAGTGTTTCAACAAAATAAAGAAACCGGTAGCTCGAACCCGAGTTCTGGTTAAAACAGTAGAGTTTCGGCTTCGAGTTCACCACTCGGGGGGGGGGGGCGAGCCGGAAACTGTGCGTTGCACACTACCGGCGGCCCCTTTCCGCCAACAAATTGACGGACTTCTTGTAAAATAAAAAAGCCCATGTGCAGCTGTAGGTATGAAGTACCGTTCTCGATCAGCACAAAAAGCGCGCCAAAGATTAATAAACTGCAAATTTGGCGCCAAAACCCGTCTCCCACTTTCACTTTCGCCCAATCACCACTTCCCAAATCGCCCATCAGTCTTCTCCAACCGAAAACTCTGACATGAGCCGTCATCGGGCGTGCGGCGGGTCTTCCTCGCGCTACGCGAACTCCGGCGCCTTCTCCATCCCCGACTCCGACTTTCAGCGTAGCGACACGATGCTCAAGAGGCGTCGACAGCTTTCTCCTCCGCGCGCAGTCGCCTCCGCATCGCGCCGCTCTGCAATGTCAGACGGTACAATCACCATGCGCGCTAGGTCCAAGTCCAAGTCGCGTGCTCGAGCCATGGCTCGCAAAACGCCAGGCCAAGAGTTTATCGCGCTGGGCAGTAACCGCGCGGCCAGCGCTACCACACTCAACTCCAATAAGGCCAGGTACTATAACCGACCTGAGCCCTGCCAGGCTGCTCCTCCACCCCCGTCGACAACTGCAGCCAGAGCGAGATCGCGCTCGCCTGGCGCCCGCAAGGGCCTGTGGGGCAATGATTCGCAGCCGGTGAGTAGTGGCCGTCGCAACTTGTCGCCAATCTCGACCCGTACGCGCTCCAAGTCTGTCACAAGGGAGAAACACGACACGGAGGCGGCCATTCGTCGGAGTCAAAGAGAACGCTCCAAATCGGCAGCCAGACGCACTGGTGGGGCACCCAGAAGCTCCCGCAAGGAGTCGACGACGTTATATAGAGCCAGTAGAACTCAAAGCGGGAAAAAGCGGGAGCGGTCCAAGTCCAGAACGCGCGAGCGTGGACGGGAACGGGAGCGATCTCCGAGTCGTGCTCAACGCTCTCAACGCTCTAGAACTGTTGACACAAACGACGAAGAAGAGAAACCGGGCACAAAGTCCTCACGTAGTGGCCGACGTAGCGGTAGTAGCCTCCAGGAGATTGAGGACGCCATTGCAGACACTGAACAGGAGTTAGAACCGAAGAAAAAGGATCTGGAAGATCTAAAGGAGCAGCTGAAGAAGCTCCAGAAGCGTGTTGAGAGTAAGTCGATCGAGGTGTACGACCTTCAGGTCGAGCTGGATGCGCTGAAAATGCGTCGAGAGCGTCGACTGCCATCGCGTCGCAGTGGAAGCAGCCGCGAGGATAAAACGTCGAGACGATCTAGGAATACGAGCAAGAGCAATCGACGTGATACTCGACGATCAAGTAGCCATCCGCGAGCGTCCAAGCGTCCTTGTATCGTGGATGAAGACGATGAAGGCAGTGATGACGATGACTGTGCCATTATCGATTCGAGTGAAGCGAAACAAGAACTAGAAAACAGTGCCGCGTCAGTCAAGAGCACAGTCGTGCCTGTTGAGGACTCAATGCCAGATCTTTTCTGGGGCCGCTCAAATGTACCGAAGCTGCTGGCGAATCACCGTTTCCGCGCCATCCCAGACGGTAGCAGTCGTAAGGGCCGCCACTTAGCCTTTAACCCGATTCAGCCCCAAATCTTCGCCACAAGCCCTGATGAAGGGGGCCTAATCTTGTGGAGCTACCAACGTCAGGACCAAGACATCGCCAAGGTGGTAGCTCTCACGCCACCATCATTCCGCCGTGATAATCCTTGTGCTGAAGCTATCTCGTGGAGCCCAGACGGAAACCGCATGGCTATGGCTTTCCGTGACCCTTTGCAAGAGAAAGGAGAGTTCTGCATTGTGCAACTCCACCAGCTCAAACTGGAAGATAGTGACATGCCGCAGCCCATTCCGCGTGATCGAATCACCTCAAAGCGCACCGTTCTGCACTCACGAGGTATATCTGCGATCGACTGGCTGCCAACCGGGTTTGGAGCGGAAACTACAAGTCATCAATTGGTCACGACTGGCAACTCTGACCACGCCGTTGTGCTCTGGGAAGAGCACGAAGACAGCCAGCGTGGTGGATTGGATTTGAAGTTTACTGTGCTGCACCGAGACCACCGCAGTGAAGTTAAATCGCTCTGTGTTCACTCTCAACGTGACTCTCTGTACACTGGCGGACTTGACGGATTGCTGATTCGTTATGACCTGAAAAAGGGATGCAGCGACATCGTCATGGAGCGTCGCAAACCGAGTATCTCCAAGATCAACGCCGTACTGGAACATCCACACAATCCGAACCTTTTAATGGTCAGCTCTGTGGAGCAGAGTAGACACAATTTGCTGATGCACGACCTGCGTCAGCGCTATGACCGCAACGGGATGTCGCTGACTTGGGAAGGGAGCTCCATGAGTCAGTACGTCGTGCCGCGGTGGTCGCCTGCAGGCTATCACGTCTCGTGCGGCAGCAAGACCGGTGTGGTGAACATCTGGGACGTGCGCATGCGTGGGAAAAATTACCCTGCGGTGTTGCCCCAGCAATCTCTTCGCGTGCATCGTAAGTGCTTATTTTACATGATTATCAGCCACGTGCAAGTTATTTTTTTTAACCTGTCGTCTCTTGTCTATGTACTCACTCATGTAGACAAAACGGTACTGCATGCAACTTGGCACCCGCGATATGACGCCATGTTCAGCGTCTCCCACGATCGAACGCTTGGTCTGCTCACGTTTCGATAAGCGTGTGTGAGTACAAGTTATGGAAGTGCTCTTGTTGCAATATACTAGTAGCTTAGGTTTGTTGAGCGGTTTCCCCCAAAATAGGTTCTAGGTTTGCTATTGACGCAGCTGAAGCATATTTAGCAAATACTACTAGTAGTATAAAGCACATGCAGTTTGTCCACAACGTTTTTTTTGGCAGTCCTTCTCGCACAGACAGCAAGATGTAGAGCTGAAAAAACTGCTTTTCATTCGAACACTATTTCGGGACACTGGAAGAATTTCCACTTCACTTGGTGTTTGTATGTATTTTCCATTTATCTGACGATTTGTAAGCGATGTAAATTGGTTTTTTTCTAATTAACCTAGTCCACATATCGGGGCAAAGAGCACCAATTTCATGTGTTTGTGGCTATTTTCAAGTTTTGGTCGTTTCAAACAGAGTGTCTTTGAGCCATCCAAACACGGATGAATATCGTTTAGATGCCGACAGCCCCGATGTGCCTAAATCGACTGTTTTAATGTCATAAATTTGGGTTTAATTTAGACCATTCGCTACAAAATGCTGAGTTCCCAGTAAGCCGTGCAAATATTCCTACAAAAACCCGAGCACCTAGCATCATACTTACCATGCTTAAAAAAGATTATTCTACATGTAGTGATCTTGACACAGTCTCTTTATTATTGTTGGCTATCACTGTCAGAATCATCTGCACTTCAAATAGCATGTCTACAAACGCCACACAATATATTTAGCTTTGCGTCGTGCTCGATATCACGGAGCCGCTATGAACTTAGCTCACATCAGCGCAAACGATAGTAACGGCCTGTCCAGCTTGCACTACTTACCTGCTTGTATTTAATACTGCCTATTTCAGCTTGTAAGTAACTAAAGTCTGTTCACTTCTCATATCAAACTCAATGAAAGCTAAAAAATATTCAAATTGTACTATTTTAATGTATGTCGCGTTCATTTTGTGCTGATTCAGAATTAGCACTCGAATCTGTGCCAGTTATGATTGAAGCATTTGGATATTGTGCTGCAAGGCGCCTTGCTGCTGTTGTTGACGGGTTTTCTATTTGATAATTTAACGATGATTCCAGGATTATTGGACGTCATTTAGGCTTCAAGTTCATTAACGTTTCTTTATGGGGTCTACTTAACCAACTATAATTTTACCTCTCGTGTTGTGTTGCTGTCTTACCGCTCCAATTAAATCGTATCCTACGCGCTTGTCGGCGACACGTCCGCCCGTAAAGTAGTATCGGATTTTGCTGTCTAAACAACTCTTAGAAAACAATGGTTTACAGCAGTAACACATATGAGTTCATTTTGTTAAATATAAGACGATCTATCATTATGGATCAAGTGACACCGTTTATTAGCACAGCGTTGCTCTTACGGCCAGCTTCTGTTGTACATGTACTTCTATTTGACAGCTCAATCGGTTACCTCACATTCAGAAATGTTCTTTATATTTCTGCAACAAAACAGTTGTAGTTATTCTTTTAGTCATTGTTTCTTGCAGAAACTACAAAGAGCATAATATTATGTGTATTAATAGTATGGCCTCGAAAACAAGCATTCCTACGTGTACGCTAAGCACCTTGCAGCATAGGAAGCGTCTTTAGGGGCTATTTCATTTAAGAATAAGGAGCACTCAAATATTAATAGCAACATCCATATTAGAATAGTACAAATTAAAACTTCGTTGTATTTAAACGATGCCGCTATCGGATAATGGATAGCCTGATGCAAATCTCCATACCGTCAAAATTCCAACCGTCCGACCGGGGTTCCAAGCGGTACCGGTATAAACGTCTGGAATAAAATCGAACTTAGCCGTGATTCAAAATAAAAAATCGCTGCTCTCTCAGGCCACACAGGTATTCTCCAAACACAATCGCCACCACGACGGCACAGAAGATGGCGCGCGGAACGCCAGCTGTACTGCGGCGACAAGCCATCCTTCGACCCCCCGAGCGCACCGCACGGCTGACCAAGACACGCCGCCTGCCGCTCCCACTCTTGCCGCTTCCCAAGTCCGCTGCTGTGATGTAAAATGACCCGGTAGGGCGGGCGGTATGCTGCCGGAGGTGTATAATCACAGAGCGGTGGTACTTGCGGTTTCCCTCGGGCTCTATACTACTCGTAGATATGGTAAGTGTGTTCTAGATCATTACTTGAGCCGGTATGTGTCATCTAACTTGTTCCTGTAGCTATGCTGTAATATATTGTGAATGTTTTAGTGCGCGAAATGAATTCAAGTGTATCGGATATTTACTATCGGTGCTGTGTAGTCCGTGGTTGTGGGTGATATTCTTTGTTTTTATTCGACAGACTAACAGCCAAGGCGCTTCAAGCAAATAAATTCTGGTAAGGCAGCAGTTGGCGTAGGGTCAACCACGTCACCGCGCTCAACACGGTCATAGAACTGGGCTAGATGCGCGTCAAGCTTCCCGGCCTTATGAAGCTTACGAAAAGCTTTCAGCGCCGTACCGGATGCAGCTGCTGAGGACCCATTTTCTTTCAAGAATGCTAGCGCATTTTCTTGCGCCTTCTCACCCAGGGCCAGCACCTCGCTCTTGAACGCTGGAGACGCTGCATCTAGTGCGAATCCAGTCGGTAAGAAAAGCATCATGTACCCTGCGGTGTGTCTAAACTCGTACAGCGTTGCCTTTTTTACAGATCGCGCGGCATATACACGAGGCTCCGCCGTAAACCAAGCGAACCACGTGGCTGCCAGCGACTGTGCTCCCTTCTTTTTCGATCGAGCTGCTTTGACTCCAGGCTGTGGTGGTTGTGGAGGTGTTGTTGCGGAAGATGGGTCGATCGTGGTTGCTGCTTGCGTTGTCGTGCTGGCTGTCGAGCGGAGCTGGCCTTCCACTGCTACCAAGCGTTGTTCCAGATGCTTGTTTTGCAGAATGAGCACGTCGATCTGCTTGGTTTGGTGCTGAACCAGTTCCAACAGTGAATCAAGACGATCTTCTCTATCAGGTGGTGCCGGTTTTGGCTCAAGAGGTGGTATGAAGGCACGGCGGACGGTGATACTCCACGCTAGCAGCTCGGATTCAGTGACGGAGCGAGCAGTCATTGCCTCTCGCATCTTCGTGACGTATGGGCTGTGTTCACAGAGGCGCAGCATATCAGGGTAGTGCAAGATAAGTGTGGCAGTCAGGACTTCGGCTACGTCTTCGTCAAGGTTGAGGGCTTCGTCAGCAAAACCCAGCGTGTTAAAGAATATTAGCGCCTGGAGTCTGAGTGCCCGACAAAGGACCGGTGTGTCAAGTGCTGCAAGTGAAGGCAAACGAGCCCCATCCTTAGGTTTCCACTCGCTCAAGACTCGAGATACCTGCTGATCCGCTTGTGTCGTCCCAAGCATATAGCCAAACGCTTTGTTCACACGGTCGAGCTGCCAAGCCTCCACGTTCGATGATCCAATTTTCGGCAACGGTCCCGTCATTTGCGTGCATAGCCCCACCGCGGCGAAAGGAGTGAGAGATGAGACCAGGGGTGAGCCGGACATTATGAAGCTGGGCATTGTCTCATGCCCTGACCAGCAGCCTGTTAACGTAGGCTTGTGCTCCAGGCAGTGACGCGGCTGCTGAGTTCGAAGATTCTGGCATAGAAGTGTGGTCGTCCTCTGTCTCTAGAAGCTCTACGAGGGACAATTCCTCCAGATCTTGAACGCTCGTGGAGCTTCGCTTCTTTTTAAGAAACTGAGGAAACATTCGTTTGCATGGAGAGCTCTGCATCACCAGCGCTACCGCTATAGCGTTGAGAGGGCATGTTAGAAAATTGTTGGGATCTTTGAACAAGGACATGCCCTGGAGTACTGCTGGTTTAACGCGCTTAAAGCGAAGGAATAAAACACCGCCTACATTATTAAAATCTAGGTAGAGCGTGAAATTGTTTGTCAGACCAATAAATGCGTACCCGGGAGGATAGACAGCTGCTGTTTCTCGACTTGTTCTGCGTCCGATCTACGACCGTACAAGTACCACATCATAACAACGAGAGCGGAATCAAGATATTCGCTCTCATTTGATGCCGTTGTGTATAGTATTCGCACAATTGCTTCTAAATCTTGCTTTGAGCACGGGGGAGCAACTCGTTCGTTACCACTTTCTTCTCGATTTGTGCAGTACCTTCCGAGTCCCGATAAAATCTTTTGTAGCTGGGGCTTTACTAACCCGCTCTGTAGCGGGTATTTATCTGCCAACCAATTTTTTACGTTTCCATAATATGCAAGACATGTATTCGTAGCTAAAATTTTGTCCTGAGACCTTGCTAGTGAATATGCATACTTGTCTAGCATAATACGAAGCACTTTACCCGTCTTATCAGCATCGATGAGCTTGTGCGCGGCTGAAAGTGTCATGCTTTCGGCACCCAGAAACGTGATGAAGGAGTTCAACGCTGTCGTTCGCGCCTTCTTGCTGTTACCAGGGGCCAAGGATGCTATCGACATGACTGATACGCCGCAATTTTATTCTGTACAGAAACCCCTACTGCTGGTTACCGTCAGAAACTTCAGGATATTCTTAGAATATGACTTTATATGAAAGTCAGTATCCGATAGACAATATTATTCAAAGATTCCAACTAAATATGGTCAGAATGGTTGGAAACCTGCTCCTATCCAGATGCCTCTTCCATTGGTGTAAAATAAGCGTTGTGTTAACGAGGATTGGTTGAAACACGGAAAATGGTGTTAGTATGTGGCTGCATAGACAGGTAACGGTTGAAATGTAGTGGACATTATACCATATCGCAACCGTTCCGACACCCTACCCCTTTCCGACATGTTTCCGACAACAGATAGATTCAGGTACAGAAGTCCCTCAAAGTAAGCGTCACCTACTTACGTAATACCCCGCCATATCTGCTACGGTACATACAGGTTTAACTGACCAATCACAAGAATGCACTGATTTTGGATGAGCTGCAGGATCGGCGGGAAAGATCACCATCATTTCCAGACCGGTCCGGCCTCTTCGCTAAGTAAACTATTGAAAGACTGAGAATGGAGATTAAATGTACGAGGTAACTCATGCTCCCGCTACGTACGCCTCCCTCCATGCCCACTATCACTCTTCCAAGCGACCATGACCGCCAGCCTCATGCCGCGCCGGATCCGCCTTAATATGGAGCAGAAGATCTCCATGTGCAAGTATGCGAAGGATATGCGCGCCAAAGGCAAACTGTCCAACACACAGCTAGCAGCGTGGGCAACACGTGCATTCAAGCTGGAAAATCTCTTTCACGCGATGCCGCTCGCAATGTTATCGCTGGGGAGTCTAAGTGGGCCGCTATGGAGCCCTGTCAGCTAGAGCGCAAGCAGCTCGTCAGCCCCCAAATCCAGGAGACGGACGCTCGCATTATGAAGGTCTTTAAGGCCGTGGACGGCAAGGTGAAGGCTATCACAGGCAAGTTGATATAAGCCAGTTAAAAAAGGCTGGATGAATACGGTAATTTTCCAGATGTGGCTACACTCGGTTAGCCTGCAGATGTGGAAGGAAGGTCGCAGCATTTTGCTGCTCGTCGACAACGTGAGTTCACATGCACGACCCGCCATTGCATTGAGCAATGTACGTCTGGAGGTTTTGCCCAAGAATACGACTTCGTGTTTGCAGCCGTTGGATCAAGGCATTATTCGAGCCTTAAAGAGTAAGTACAGGGATTTAAAGATACTTGATTGTGTCGACCGCTTTTTAGAAGGGCGGGACCAAGAGAAAGTTGATATCTACACCGCTCTTTGTTGGAGTAAGATGGCCTACGACGCGATCTCGCCCAAAACCATTCAGAACTGCTGGCGGCACGCAGGCATTCTGTCGGACAGGATCAAGATCGCCTCGCTTCTTAACTAAATATCAGTACATTTAAAGCATCTGTTTTATCACCCTCTAAGATCGTTTCTCGGTTCCCCCTACGCTTACTTTGAGGGACTTCTGTACCAGCCACCACATATATTAAAAAAAAATCTCTTATTAAATCTAACGTTATAAATTATTGAAACTTCTAATTTAAAAAGAGTGGCATAGCGGTGGCAGCGGTCGGTCGACGGCGCCTGCAACAGGGAGGCGTAATCGAGTGTAGAGCGGGTGATCCTGGAGGGGATACCGGCTCTCCCGGGATATGGCCCCACATTCAGATTAACCTAGATTCTAGTTTTAAGCTATTGCAAATAAAAGCAGCTAGATCTTCTGAGGTAGCACAAGGTCTGAGCCCCACATTCAGAGAATAAATCCACTTCGCCACGTTGAAGTAGAATACAAAACCTAATATTAAAAGATTTCCCCCCACACACACAAGGAGTGAGGCGGGAAAATAACAGAGAGAGTTTTGGCGCGCCAAAACTCTATCACTTTCAAACTTCCCAGACCGCGGCAGCCCAGACCCCAGCTCCACCATGCCAACCCAGCCCACCGCCACCTCAGCCGCCATTGGTGCCTGCCCACGTCTACCCCGTCCGGTAGACGTCGAGGCTGCCCGTGGGCTGAAGAACACCACGTTCGACGGAGTGATTGACATTACATCAAGCGCTTCGTCGACCGTGGCCTGGGCCATGTCGGTCCATTTGCTAGCGCCGTCACTGCTGTGCCCGAAGTGCACCACGTCCATGCGGCTAGACGTTGGGCACGAGCGGTGGCGGTGCTCGCGAGCCGCGTGCAGGACGGAGCGGAGCATCCGCACCAACTCCTTTTTCTCTAAGAGCAAGCTGCCCCTTAGGAAGTTGGTACGGTTGCTCTGTCACTGGTGCGCGCGCACCCCCGTGACAGCGGCAGCCGTCATGGTGGGTGTAAACGCCCAGGCAGCAATGCAATGGTATACCTATTGTAGGGACATATGCTCCCAGGAGATGATGTCCATCCCCATGGAGATTGGAGGCGAAGGCCATGTCGTCGAGATCGACGAAACTTCACTCAAGAAGAAGTCTAAGTACAACCGCGGGCGGCGGTATCCGGACTTCTGGCTGTTTGGCGGCGTGGAACGGACGACGAACCGCTGGTTCGGGATCCTCACGTATGAGGATCGTACGAAGCCGACTTTGTCAGCGGTGATCAAGAAGCACATCCGCCCTAAGTAAGTGTGTAGTCTATATCATTTACTTATTTTTCACTATACTAACGTATCTAAATGATTGTAGCACTACCATCATGAGCGACCAGTTCACCTCGTACGTGTCGGTGAATGGCAAGCACACACTGGCCAACAACCGACACCTACGAGGTATGAACTACAAACACATGTGGGTCAACCACAGCAAGACGTACGTGGACCCTATTACAGGCGCCCACACTAACCGTGTCGAGGGCGCCTGGGAAATCCGCATTAAGCAGCATGTGAAGGTTCGTATACATTTTATACCAATACGTATATACGTATACAATTATACTTACCAGCGTATTTGAGACAGGCAATGCGCGGTATGAAGAAGGAGCTGCTGCCCATGTACTTGGACGAGTACATGTGGCGCAACTGGTTTGCTCCGCCGAAGGCGAATGCAACAGAAGTCCTGCACGCTCTGATCAAGGGCATCGTCAAGTACTACTACTAGACGACGGTGATAAGGTTATAATACAACTGTAGGTTAACCTAAATTTCTTTTTGTTTTTAATCTGAATGTAGGGCCATATCCGGGGAGAGCCGGGATACCGGAGGACGTGACGGAGCAGGTGTTGATGCCCAACTTGTATGCACGCTCGGTGCGCGCCCTACAGAGTGATGGTGTGGCTGGAGTACTGGGCGTGGATGTTTACGGGCGCGACATGAGTCAATGAGTACGATAGTGTTTGACGGCGTGCAGGCCGACGTGGAGACGCGCGATGGTGCTAGCACGGCGAGCGTGACGAAGTTTGTTGTGTCGGCGCTGGCGTCGATTGGATCGGACGTGTCTGCAGCAGGTGTACTCGGTGGCGTCGTTCTATGGTGATGATTTCACGAGCGCGGAATGCGGCGCAGCGCGTGGAGGTGGCGCATCTTTTGGCGAACTCGTGGCGGCGTCGAAGCCTGGACCTACGCACGAACTTCGTGCCACGAAGGAGTTCGTGAACAAGACGGCTCCAGTGGAGACAAGGCAGGCGGTGTCGCTGGTCTTTGACGACGCTTCTGCGTTGGGTGAGCAGAGCTCGGCTGAACGTGCAGAATGTAAGCATGGTTCTCGCTAAGCGTCTCGACTACTCCAGCGTGTGAAGCGGTGTCTCGAGTGGCAGCTTCCCGGTGAGATTCAGTGAAGCGAGACAAGCTGGCTGAAGAGGTGGAATAGGAAACGCGCAGTGCCATTTCTGAGGCCGTGGCGGTGTAGACGAACATGACGCTGGTGGGCGTGGCTATCGTACCGGCGACCGAGGCCATGAAGGCGGTGTTCGAGACTGTGGAAGATGCCGAGGTGAAGGCAGTGGAGGTGGACTGTCAAGTAAATGTACTAGAAATACCCGGCGCAGGCTTGTTGCCCGTACTGGTGCGTTGGTCGTACACATCACGTTGGTTAGCGTGGCCTTCTTCTGCTGCTTGGTGACTGGTGGTCCTGACCACGCAACAAGACTGCGTCACACCCAGGCCTCTAGAATCACAATGAGAAGTTTAGCAAAGACGCTATTTAAAAAAAATGCAGTACATGTACATGTGTATCTAAGCTTACTTCTGTTTCAATAGTTTTTGTTGAGGCATGTTATTTTATCATTTTCCTAAACACGTACTTTAATACTTGCTCCTTCGAAGTAGGAATCCTACTGGAGGACCTTGTTGTCGGAATGACAAGAATATTTCAAAAATATTTTTTATACTGAGTATTCGTATCCAGCCATAAATATTTTGGCTGGGCTTCCGACAAATATTTGTCGGAAGCTGTCGGAATAAGAGACCTACCCACATGGGATGCCATTGGCCAAAAGATGAAAATGAAGATTTCCAATTGGCGTAAATTTGACAATCCCTAACCTGATCACAATCCTACCTATCCATCTGTCGGAAAGCTCATCCATATGTGCTCTGTGAACCACATGAATTTACTTATGTAAGTTACATAATTTAGTTTTAACCAATCAGAGCCGCCGTCGCTCCGCTCGACAGCCAATGATAAAACTCAAAACCTGAGCGTTTGATGTGACGGACGGACATACACCGTGCTAGCATTGATAGTTTACGACTAGCCGGCCGCCGCCGCTACGCGGCGAAGTGGCATGGTTTGTTGGAGATGAGGTGGCTACGGCTTTACGTACTTCGTGCGTTGTGTGTTTTCAGTCGGATCTTGTACCCCGAGATTTCTGCCATCCTCGTGCAATGAAGTGTCATGCACTTAAAACACTTACCATTCCGTAGTCTCATGTGGCGGTGTACGGTATCATGGTTTCGTACGCTTCCGTTGCTCCGTAGTACTGGTTGGCCTCTATGGTCTTCCGTGGATCATGCCCTTTTCCGTTAATGCGCTCTCTCTTTTGGGCCCAAGCTCTTCAGACGTATGTGATATTAGAATTCCCACGTGAACTCTAGCTACAAATGTAGTTAGGACGTTTCCACAACAATACGTCTACTAGGATAGTAAACGATCGTTCGGGCGGACCTGAAGACCCCAGTTCTGCCCTTGCACCGGGACAAACTGGACCTTGTAAACTACTTATATAGGCCAACCAGTAAAAATAAGAACACGCCACTAGCACGAGCAAAGCTAGCAGGTGTTTTGAATCCTCGTGGTCCCAACAGCGGAAGGGTACCAGGCACGGGTAAGCCTTTTACGAGATCACTGAGTGTTCAACACTCGGTTGGAAGAATAAAAGGGAGGCAATTCAAGCACTCCCAGACGTGCAAATAGGCAACAATAAGCCGTCACGTAAAACCTCCCGATAATAATCGGCCAAAACACAAAGTCTCTTGGCCTTGCTGGATGAACCCTCGCTACAGAGCTTCGAGTTCACCGACAGGCATAACACACTCAAGCAAGCTTGACCAGACGCTTACCTTGAAGCCGGACGTCGCTCTGTGTGCTTGAGTGGAAATTCTGTTCTGTGTTTAAGCTTACCCTTTCGGGTATATTCATAATAAGAAGTCCTAATCAAGTATACAAATATCAAGTGAACAATGATCCGTTATGAATTTTCGTGCACGCCAAGCGTCGTCTGCACCGTCGCATGAGTATCTTTAACGGTCCGCGCCCTGTCCTAGACGGTGAACGTACCTTCCAAGGGTCGCTGAGTCTTCCGCGAACTCATCCCAACCGCCACTGAGGGTTCGTACCGTAGAAGGTCCGCTGAATGCGAATCCGGCCAGTCCATTATTAATAATAAGGACAGCCTGGATTCAGTGACATATGGCCGTATCCAATACTCGATGAAAGCTCGGAAGTGACGCCGTCGAGTCCCTTGCACCTTGGCGTCTCCGTACATCACATGACCGAGGGTTCGTCGCTTGAACATCTTGGGCGGTGTCACGTCTTTGTCGACGGGTGATAATCCGCAACTACGGAGAAATCACTACACCACAACTGCCCCTGTCGCAATGGAAGCCACGGTACTGGTGCCCGTTGTGACATTTCTTCATTCTCCAATTCACCATCCAGTCACTGTATGTCCAAGCGTCTGAACGTGTTTTAGCGTCTCAATCCTCGCCGACGTCGCGAACGTGAACGGCTGGAGGTACGTCAGCTCATCCTCTTCTTGAATCATCGGCGCCTTGCTCATCACCATGCATTACTCGTCTTGTTTCTTAGTAGGCAAGACCGAGGGTTCGAACGCCCCTCAGTCTGCTACACCTCCCCTGACAGCACCATCATCAGCTGGTCCTCCGGCGCTTCCTGCCCCGGACTCTTCACCCCCTGCGGCAGCTCCTGCAGCACTTCCTGTCGTAGCTGAATCTACAAGGATGGCTCCTGCTGGTCCTCCTGCGCCTGCTGGTGGTACCCCACCACTCACCAAGGATTCGCTGCGCGCCATGCTGGCTGAAAGTACGGAGGCATCGGTCGATCACATGATGACCTCGACAATTCCGTACTTGACTGCCATGGCTCGCCACCAAGTGCAGCGCAGCGTTGCGCCTCCTCTCCACGGCGATGTCCACGCTCAACGTCGCCTCGAGACTGCTGTTGGTTTCGATGATGTCCTCGCTGCGGTACAACCTCTTCCTGACGCGCTGTCGGCATTACACGAACGAGTCGCCAGCTTGGAGCGTCAGTTGCGGTTTGCTCAGTCCGAGGCTGCTGCCGCCGTACGTTCGGTGGCACCCCAAATCATGGCTCGTGAGAACGCGGAGACATTCCTCAAGGCTGCCAACGCTGAGATTGAAGCTTTACACCACAACATCAAGATTCTCCGCGAGTCGAACGCCAAGAATGACGCCATGCTCGCAAGTGTTCAAGCCACTATGGAGCGACACGCAGAGGATTTGAATCGTCTTCACTGCGAGGTCCAAGCTCGGGACGTTTTCATCAACACGTTGCACAAGAAGCTGGCTCGCGAACGCGAGGTGTACAAGTCTTCAATTGGTGCAAATACCGAGCAGACTCGGAAGCTTCACCTCCTTCTGGTAAAGCTTGCCCAGGGCAAGTATGTTGATAACGACACGCTCAAGGTCCTCGAGAACCAGCAAGACCGTAACACTCGTCTCCTCCAAGCGAATCGCACCCTCCGTGCACATGTGAGTCTGGCCGGGATGGATCCCGAGGTACTTCGTCTGGCTGTTGATGGTACGTTCCTAATGTCGCTCCTTCCACCGTGTGTTCAGCAACTAACGTTCGTTCACAATCCTTCGTGATAGGTCTGACGGCGGGTGAGCTGGACCTGGACGCGCTGGACTTGGATCAAGAGACGTTAGTCGCTTTGCGGCGCATCCAGTCTGCTACCGCGTCTTCGGACGATCCTCAAGTCGGCTCGTAGATCGCTATTCGGCCCGAAAGCGTGGAAGAAGGCGGCCCAGAAGAAGCGCAAGAAGTCTCGTCCTCATTCTCCTGCCAAGTCGCCTCGTCGTCATATGAAGACTCGGTCCAAGTCTGTACCGTCTTCTCCAAGTTCATGGTCGCCACCAGCGTCTTCCTCAACTCCTGCCGTGGTCGACCTCAGCGGCGACCAGAGTGACGTGGACATGGGGAATGCTGGTCCAAGCAGCGTCCCTTCGGTTCAAGAAACTGCCACAGAGCCTTCGGGTAAAGATGTGGACCCTGGGGATCATAACGATGTTCCTGATTCTCCTGACGCGCCTTCGCCCCCGCTTCAGGGACCACCCGATGTGGCCAAGCCACCAGCTTCAACGATTTCTCCTTCTCCAGCCGACATACGTGCTGCGGAAGAAGCTCTGCGTGAGGCCGAGCAAATGCGACTCATGTTCGGCTCAAGTGATGAAGGTGAAGAGTCGGACCACACTGTCCCACAAGGCAAGTCTGCTTCGGCGTCCGTTGCGACGTCCAATACAGTTGAAGTCTCGGGAGTGGTTTCTACAGCAGGGCCTGCCCCTGTTGAAGCTGCTCCACCAGCCTCCGTGTCTCAAAGCCGGCTCCGATTGTTCCGACGGCTGTCGTACCAAGCGTGTCTTCGCCCGACTTTTCGATGGAGATTGATGACGATGGAAATGCTGATGACGATCGTGGAGATGACGTTAATGACAATGAACATTCGATGGATGATTCTCCTGATGCCCCCAGTGGTGGCGGTGATGTTCCGCCACCTACCGATCATTCTGGCACACTTGATGACGAAGATATTGAAGATTCCGATAGAAATTGGAGCAATCTTGGCCCAGCTCGTCCTCCGACTCCACCTCGGCCAAATCCTTCGCCGATGATGACTTCTCCAATCATGGTCGGCGGTCCGCCTCCTTCGTCACCGGCAAGTCACCCAGCACCAGCATCTTCACCTCTGTTCCGGTGTCTCCTCGGCCGCCTATTTGGACTCTCGATGCTGGACCTGGGCGCATGATCACGGCCTCCTACAATTCGGTGCCGCGTCGTGGTGGTGGACCGTCGGTTGAGCCGTTGCCTCACCGAGTGTTGTCTGGTGTTCGCCCTACGGTGCCGGCTTCGTCCACCTTGCCACCTTGGGCTCTTCCGTACGTGGTCATGGAGTTTACTGACGCAGGCGCCAAGAAGTGTTTCGAGCGACTCTTGAGCTTAAACCTTCCCGACCAGCTGGTGAGGTGACCGTGTGTACAACGTTGGAGGGTCTCCAAGCGTACTTTGATTATTCGCATCCTGATCACCCGTACCAGCAACTTCGGCAGCTCTATCCTCTTCAAGCCTGTCTCTTCGACACTGTCGGCTTCGATCCAAGCGTCCCCATCTCAAAGCGTGCTCCGATTGAGACCCGTCTCAAGATGATCTGGGCGAACCTTCGGGGTGACGGCGGTAAGCAAGGTTACCTCGGGCCCCGCGTTGTGGGAGCGTCTCCACTGGCTTCCATTGGCTGGTATTGAACGAGGTCTCGCTGACGAAGGTAAAAAGGTTGGCCACGAACTGAGAGCTCTGTTGAAGAAGCTTCTCAGTGAGCACGACCGTCGTGCCGATCGTCTTCGTAACAAGTACCGTGAGCAGTACATGGCGTGGAGGCGTGACTCGGTTTGCTCTGGTACTTCTGGCGCGCCGTTCATTCGTCCCGAGTTGCTTTTGGAGCCGTCGAAGCCGTGGTACCCCATTGAAAACTTGTCGTTCGCACCTCGGACATCTGACTGGCTTTCCGAAGTTTCGGCTCTCGACGCTCGTCAGCCCTGGCGTACTGGATGGATGAATGCGCCGCATTAGCACCCGTACAACACCACGTACTTCCCGTGCCAGCGTAATCCGGAGCTCTTCAATCCTCGTGGTACACGTTTCGTGGACGTGTACCGAAGCGTGATCGCTGACCCGTCTCTGGATTCTACTGAAGTTATTCCGACATGGCGTTCGTTGTTTGACTCGCCACCGGTTACTCCACGTCCCGCTCTGGCTGCTGCTCTTGTTGAAGCTGGTGCCGAGGATTCGCAGGGCCCGGCTGCAGCTCCAGCTGCCGAGGCTCAGGTTCCTGATGAAGAGGAGAAGGAGAGTGGTGACTCGACTTCGTTGGCACACTTGGCCACCGCGGCCAGGCAATTGGAATCGCTTTGAATCCTCGCTGCATGCTCCACGACGTTCTCCAGCATCTCAGCTAGCTGTTGATGGGTCCAGCGAAGTTTCGTTTTCAGTGGTCGCTCCTCGGTCGGCATTCATGTTTTCTTATTCTTAATCCACTTCCACAGCGTAATCATGTTCATGTTGTTCTTCAAATGCATATACAATTTGTTGTTGCAGTAACGTTCTTCGTCTGTTACCACAGGCT